CTCCTTCATACATGATGTTTAAGGCCTCCTCAAGGCACCAAAATGTTAGATTGTATGAATCTCCCTTCATGTGTGATGATTTGGAATCTTCCAAAATTCCATAATGTCGCAACATGAAAATTTTGGACCTTAGAACCAAATTCTAGGTTTATACATCCCTTCACTCAAACTAAATCAAGTGAGTGAAGAAATTCATTTGAACACCAAATGTTCAAGGGATCTCTCCCAATCTTGCAACCTCTAGGTCGCATCTCATTTTTGTCTTTCTACAATCCAAAAGTTGTAGGAGACCAACCCATTCTCCTAAGATTCAAAACTAGGAGAATGTGTATCTCTCTTTGTTCCTTTTGAAACCACATGTTTAAAGGAACCTCTCCAAACTCAAAACCAACAAAGATCTACTCATGCAATATGTCCTAAGGCTCCTCAAGCCTTTAAATATGTTGTTGCATGAGTCCTTTAATTTTAGAACCAAATCCTAAATTCCTTTCCTCATTTGTTTGTTGAGACAAAGTCAATAAACAATAATTTATCCATCCTTTTCATGCTTGCTCATTGGAGACCTCTCAAGTCTCCAAACATATCATTGCATGAATCATTCAGAGTTTAAGGCCAAATCTTAAGCTCCCTCCTTTGTGTGTTGAGACAAAATCAACATTCCCCCTCTTTCATATATAATTATTTGGGACCTTTCAAGTCTCCAAACATATCATTACATGAATTATTTGGAGCTTAGGACCAAATCCTAAGCTATCTACTTCATTTGTTGAGTCACAAAATCAACAAGTGAGCTTCTGTCATTTACTTGACTTCAATTAAGTGAATGATTATCTCTCTTTGAATACCAAATATTTAAGGAGAATCCATGAAATTTTGTAATTCTTAAGTTACATCTTCTTCCTTCAACCCCAAAGTTGTAGGAAATTTATCAAATCATTTATTCGTTAGAACACAAACCAATGAGTAATCTTCTAGACATAGGACTCAAATCCTAGTCTTCCTCATTTGCTTAGCCCAAAGTTGAGCAAATGATAATCTTCCTTTGAGTACCAAATGCTCAAAGAGACTTCACTATTTACTTAGCCTAAATCGAGTAAGTGGTCCTTCTTTAGACAATAAATATCCAAAGAACTTTCATTGATTTGCAATCTTTAAAATTGTGTTTCTCCATTCTTCCTACAAGTTAAAATTGTAGAGAAGTTCATTCCTTTCTACAACTCAAAAGGTTGTATGAAAATCTCATCCATTCAACCCATGTTGAGTGAATTAGACACATGAAAGTCACTTATTTGTTGAATCAAAATCAACAAGTAATTCAATCCAAAATCATTTGTTTGTTGAACCAAATTCAACAAATAATTTCATATCAAGCAAAGGAGAAACTCCTAGCTTTCTTCCATTCTCCTAACCCAAATTAGGTGAATGAGTTCCTCTCTTTGGACATTCAAGAATCCAAAGAATCCTTGATGTGTAGGCCAAAACTACACATCGTTTCCTTATGTTTGCTTAATCCGAACTTAGCAAACTAAATGCCCCTCATTGAATATAAAAGTTTAATGATAATCCCTCTTGATTTGTAACCCCAAAGTTACAAATCTTTCTCACTTATTGAACCAAACTCAATAAGTGATTCACTTTATTTGCTTAATCCAAATTAAGCAAATGAAACCCAACTCCTTGAATACAACAATTCAAGGAGACATCTTTTTGATTTGTAGCCTCAATGCTACTAATCTACATTCACTTTTATAGGTTCCAAAAGCCTTAAAAGATGTAATACCTTAGCCCTATAGCTATATGTTTTCTCTCCTTCAACTCCAAAGTTGTTGGAGATCTCTCTTCTCTTTAGCTCCAAAAGCTAGAGAGAGTTCTCCTAAATTTAGCCCAAAACTAAATGTTGGATCTCTATCTTTATCCTCTTAGCTCCAAAAGCTAAGGAGATTTCTCCAACATGTAGCCCAAAAGCTACATGTTGGACACCCTTCTTAGACTCAAAATCTAAGTAATTTCCTCCACTCAACCCAAATTGAGTGATCTTTCCTATGACATTTAAAATGCTAAACTCATAGATGTCCCTTAGGAATTATCCAATCTGTTGAAATTCATCCTATCCTATTGGATGGATTTCACCAAGTCCTAAGTGAAACCCCTTAAGCATGTCTATCTTATCCTATTAGATAGATATTTCTCTTATCCAAACACTAAGAGAACTCCAAAACACATAAAATTTACTTAGATTCCTTTTGATACAATAATCAATCATCTACCCCAAAAGGTGGGATGCCTACATTATTGTGTTTTAGGATTCATAAGTAACAGACTTGTCCAAAAGCAAGTAATGGTTACTTTATGGGTTCTTCATAACCCTCCTAAATATGAAACACTTAAAAATCAAATAAAATCTTTAAGTCACAAACAACTTAAAGTGAAATCACCCTTGGATAAAGATTAAACATCTTCATTCCAAAATAAAATCAAAGACCCTTAGTGTGACATGCTACACAAGCCTCACACACTTAGGTGCACAGCCCCTTAGGCATGCTAGGATTAGGATTTTTCTTTTCTGCGCATGTGTTTGATGCTGTGGTGTGATCGCCCTTGGATTGTCTGTGTTGTGGGCACTTGCCCTTAAGTGGATAGTGTAGAAATATACATGCTCTTCTTGTAGGTGGCCATATCTAAAAGGAGGGGCGCTCATAAATAATAAATTGCTTGCATGACAGGTGCTGCTTAAAACCCCCCCAAAGATGTGGCCAATAGGGTAGAAGCAGGTGTTTGGCACTCTAAGTGCTAAACAAAATTCTTAATGTGATGCTTTATTATATAAACTGCTTCTAATCCACTACAGGTTTGAGTCTCTTTTCTTTTCAAACATGTATTTGATAGAATTGTAATTGTATCAAACTTGTGGGGGTTTGGAGCAAAAAATGAAGTGGACTAGAAAGATGTACCTGTCAAAGGTGAAGCCCAATGTCCATTCAAAAGTCAAGAGCCCGAAGAACCCCACAAGTAGAGTGTAATTTTGATTGGGTTGTATAATGGCAGGCAACTCACCTGCCAAATTTAGTTGTAATAATGTGGACTCTATTTTCATTCCTTGTACTTTATTCATAAATAAAAGCATGCTTTGATTGTTTACATGGTTGTGCAATAGAAATGCATCTTTTTTCTAGTTTTCTTTCTTTGCTTTTGCTTGGGAGTGGCTTGGACTTTTGATACGGTAGGCTTTTAGGACAAAAATAAGATTTCTATCCATTAAAATGTAATTAATCTAAAAATTGATTTAGGCTCCACGATTTTCTAATAAGTAAGAAAGTTTTGCATGACTCCCTTCAAGGAGCTAAGTTTTCTAAAAATTAAAACAATCATGCATAGCCCAAATGTGTTGCATATAGAAAGCCCCCACTTAAGGATTAGATAACAAAAGTCTTTTTTTTTTTATGAGTCAGCATATGCATATTTACATGCATAGGCATCTTGGCCTCAAAGCCAAGTTGTAAGCCCTACATTCTAAATAAAAATAACCTCCCTACTCTACATTTGCATTGAGACCGGATGACATGGTTTTAAAAACGATTAGGAGGGTTAGCTGGTAGTTTCTTCCAGGCGGGACAATAAATCCAGAGGTCGGGCAGGCTATACCTCTTGTGAGGTGTAGTTTGTAAGCCCCTTTGCACTCGTTAGATTTAGGTTCGAGGCACTACCTATCGGTAGTCCTCACCTTAGTCTTAGGGTCCGAGGCATAGGTTGATTCCAAATCACCCTATAAGCCCTCATCTTTCGGGCAATTCCTCCAACAAGTGTTGTTGGGATGTAAGCCCCAATCTTCTAATAAAAATATCAACTTAAATCAAAATTAGATTGCTAAAATGTAAAGCCCAATATATGATAGTTTGAGCACCTCTGAGTGTCCCTCAGAATCAAGTGCTCCTACCTCACCTTCCCTTGTACTTCACTCCAAAAATCTGATTCTAAGTTGATCAATTCCTCCTTGAAATTCCTAAAGGGCCAAAACCTTTAAGCAGGACTTTCATGGATTTTAAAACAAAAAGCAAGCTTTAGCCAATGTCTAAAATGACTTCCAAGAAAAGCAAAACCACTAGTTTAATCAAAAATTTTCTCAAGCACTAAAGCTTAGGATGTAATTAACCATAGGGGCTTGCCCCTATGGGATGTCTGTACCCCAGAAATAAATAAACCCCATTCGACCAAACATCGAATGGGGGAATCTCTGTTTCAAATTGTAAATTTTATTATTGAGTCCATAAGGAAATGATATTTTTACTCTTCGTGGTAATATATCATATTCTTATGCCGTACTCGATTATAAAATATGCAATCCGTTTGAGGATACAAAAATTCTCCAACACCCTTTTGTATATGTTGAGGAGAAAAGGCTTTTTTATATTTCCCATTTGAAGACTGATGTTTATATATAGGTAATTTTGAAAAACAACGAAGGAAGAAAAATAGTATTCTACCATTAGATATGAGGATACATTTCAATAATTAAAGCCTCTTTATAAAGCAATAAATTTCTATTATACAAAATTAAAATTTTATTTTGACATAGTGAACTGACACGCAAAATTCAAATGATTCTTAGTTCATTGACAAATGAAGAGAATTGCCATTCATTTTGGCGCCAACTTCTCAATAATATGATAGAGTTTGATAACACATTATAAAATTATTTTTATCCAAATGTACTCTTTTGTTTGGGATGTTACTCATATTGGCATGTTGCTTATAAAAAAGTTAAGGCCAAACATTAAGATTGACAATTTGTTACCGGAGACATTTATTCTAGATGTTTTGTATGCTTCTGGCACAATATAATTATTACTTCTCATTGCTAATGCTTTTGTTACGTATCTTATGTTGGCTTTTTTATCTGATAGGTATGAGTTTGATTTTAATCAGACATAAATGCATCCTTGTAATATTGTAGTTACGTGCCAATTAAGTGAACCGAAATGTCTCCCAAATGTTTTTTGCAGTCATGATTTCTGTCCACAACGAGTTAGCAAGGGCGTTTCCCAACTTGGTTACCATCCTTGTGACACGACATCCCCGGCATGGACAACAGTTAGTTGAGGTGTGCTTTTTCATCCTTCTTTGCATGGCATTTTACTGCTATCTAATTATATGGTGAAGAAGCTTCACCTTTCCTATAGCATAGATTTCTTTAATACTAGTTTCATGATGTTTGAATCTTAAAGCAAAGGATAGCAAGCATTTTCGTGCTGATGATAATGATTTGGAATGTAATGACCTTTGATTAATTAATAATAATCATTCTCTATCAAATTTTAGGAAACTGATCAATGTTGCGTTATTGTGTGATGCAAGTTAAGCTTCTTGGAAATAACAAAATCATCTTGATTATTCTATTGTTCCAAGAAATTCATTTTACTAGAGGACAATTACTCATTTTCAATTACTGCCATATTCTGTTTGTTAATGAATCATTATATTCAATCAGGGAGTAATAATAAAATACGCAGTTACTCAATAAGACTCATTTTTTAAATGTTTTTGCTAAACTAAATATATGGCGGTGATTAACCTTGTTTAATATTTGCTGTTGCACATCTTCCTCCCATCATTTCCTTATCACAATAATTTGATGTTAACTACAGCATATGCAGATAATCAAGATGATTTTTACATCAGGCACTATGTTTTGATACACAAATATCTGTAACTGGAATTCACTTTCTGTTAGTCACTTTCATAGATTTAATTAGTTTGATACATGCTATATATTTCTTTATGAGCTAGATTGCAAATAAGGTCTGATTAACTAGTTCAGTGTTTAGTTCCAACAACGCACTTTGTTTCGTTTATTGTATTCTTATTGTTCTAACCTGTGTTCATTTTCTTTTGTTTGATCAGGCACTACTGGAAAGAGGGATGCATGCGGCATTGAGATCAAGATGTAAAATGGTCTCTCCTTGTGTAAATGTTTATGTAGTGGACACTTTAGGTCGGTTTCCTTTGCCATATAAACTTGGAAAATTCTTGTTTTGAATTCAAATGATTCATTTTTTTCTTTGCTTGATATTATTTTCTTCTGTTGCGTTTATTACTTTTTCCCTCCAGATTGCCCTTTATTTCTCACTCTCACTTGCTCGCATTCTCTTCCCATCTTTGTTTCCTTGTCTTTCTTTCTTTTCTTTCATGACAGCTATTTTCTGTTAAGCTAGCTTTCTTGTATTTACACTGAATTGTTGCAGCGAGTGGATGTTAGTTTGAAGCCGGCCCATATTACATTGATGCTCTCAATGTTGCATCAAGGCCATGCTCATAACTCTTTATAAGAAAAAAAACCTATTATTTGGAAATTAAAATGCTAAGTTAATAAAAACATAAAATTTATGTGCACATGTGGCTCGAAAATTTTTAGCTTTTTGGGCCTGTCCTGTCCGCATATATTCAGGGATTTTTTTAATAGATCATATTCCGGGAGAAAATAGAGCTAAGACACTACTCGAAGATTTCGCCCTCTTTGCGAGAACTTTAATATCTGAAGTCTAGTTTCATATAAGCACAAGTTTCGTAGTTTATCCCTCCTAATAACGAGAGAGTACATAATCATTAGATAAGCAGTAAATACTTGACGTATAATAGCAACAATTTTAGATGTGAAATTTAATAGTTAAAGTTAGATACTTGCCACCTTACACTTAAAGCGGATGGTGGGAGGAATAATGATCAACCCAAGCAAGATTTCATAGTTTCGTCGTCCCAGTTTATTTTGGTATCTAGTATATTTAGTCAGAGGAGGTAGTTAACTAAACCTGATCAAATAATTCTCATCGGCATCCATAGGTTGCTTAAATAAGTATCTTGTAGACTTTGGGTGAATGTTTGTATAAGGGATGAATTCAAGTCAAGCTAGATAATAGAGGGGGTTATGCCATATCTTATAATTCATTACGCATTAGTATTAGTCATTGAGGAACATATGGGTATAATATAGTGTAGTTGTTTAATCAATCAAGCCAACGAGTCAAAGGGTTGTAGTCATAATCATTTATCACGTAGAGCCATTCCGACAAGCCACAATTTCTTTATGGAGCCATTTGGCTAAGCCACCGATTAAAGGACCAGTCATAACCATTTACCATGTAAAGTGATTTGACTAAGCTATGGGTTTTATGGAGCCATTCGGATAAACCACTGGTTAGAGAACAAATACCATATCTTTACTGGTAGGAAATAGTTTGAGAATATATCTTAGTGATAATCTCGATTTGGACCTTCGCTCTTTGTGAGCTTGAGTTATCCTTGAGTTCATTATCCTCACCAAACAGTTACAAAGGGTGGATGAACATTGCTTTAAAATTATTAATGATTAATTTTAATTTTAAATATAAAAATATAAAAATTTTTATAGACATTGAGCTTTAGAGTGGTCTAATTTGAAAATTAATCCCTCTGGTTGATATTAGCTTTCAATATGGCCACCATCAAGGTGATGTTAGAGTCATTTAAAAATATCTATATTTTATCAATATTTGGAGACACTTAAAAGATAGATTTCCCTTTGGTTGAGATGAGTAACTCGACCATCATAGGATATTTATGTAGCTTATATCTTTGATTGTTTGAGCTCTTTCAACTATGTTTGACCACCAACAGAGAATCAGGTTCGATGAATGATATTATGAGTTATCATACTAATTCTAAGAACTAAGACTTTATATCATCATGATGAGTTTCATCTATAGAGCCTTTGAAAGCCTATTGTGAACTTTAAACTTAAATATCAAGGTAGGTTGGTGATTAGACATTCATTTGTTAATCCAAGTCATGATCGACATGTTTGGCGTAACACACTTGCGTGTGGTATAATGCACTTGCATGTGTGGCTTAACGCACCTGCATAATGTATGTAATGCATTCATATTTGTAGAATGCATTTGTATGATGGCTTGCATATGCAGAATTGACATAATGCACTTGCTTGTGTGGCATAATGCACTTGCATGAAGTAGGTAATGCATTCACATATTGTTTATTATGCTTGCATGATTAATTTGCATGTTATATATCTTTTTGCATAACACATTTGCATGTTGTACAATATATTTGCATAATGCATTTGCATGTTGTGTAGTGTATATGCACAAATTTTCAAAGGTGATGTAATGCACGTACATGTTATATCTGAGTGTTGGACAATACGCATGCATGATGTATTTGCACGTTGTAAGATACATGTATACGACATATTGGCATGTTGGATAGGATGAATACACGATGCATTTGCATGTTGCATGGTACATTTGCATTGTGTATTTGCATATTGAATAATGTATATGTATGATACATTTGCATGTCGCATAATGTATATGATATATTCACATATGACGCAATGAAGCACAACTTTGGAAGCCCTAGTTTTTTTTCTCTCCCTCATTCGTTCCCCATGTAATTTTTTTCTCTCCCTCGTTCGTTCCTCCTGTAATGCTCGGCTTGTCCACTCCAGTCTCCAATGATCGAATTCTGTTGTGAGGAGGAAATGTCCACGAGAGGAGGGTGGAAGGCGCGCCTTTCTCGAGCCCTATATTCTTACATATGAAATATCGAAAAAATGTTCCAGGCCATTCCAGATCTATCGCTTCTCGGTGTCACCATCTTCTCTGTTTCCTTTTTAAATCACTTCTCAGTTTTAGATACTGTAGAAATCTGTTGCCTCTTCCCTCGACAAAGTTGAGTGGTCTCAAGTCATCAGGCTGGGTGACGAGGTTTCCAATCAAGCCACTATTGGTGTCATTCTATCCTTCACTTCTTTTTGAAAATTTTTATTTATTAATTCTACCTACCCAGAATGCCCTTACATACCATTGGTGTGGGCGTATTTTTGTTTAAAAAGCAAAAGGTTTTTTGTTTTTTTGAAAAAAGTTAGTTGTTCTAGCTACAGTGAATGTATGTGGGTTTGAAGGGATGTTATTTGATTCCACTTTGAATTGTATTATTTTCATCCGATCATGTTGAATTTTTTAACACTAACAAACAATTATGTGAAGTGTGATTATGTGCAAAATAAATTATTTTTTCACCCTTTTTTAAAAAATTGACAATTTGATTTTGTTCAAATTGTTTTATGCTTAGGCACCATTGGGCTGCATTTAAGATTTAGTAAATCTTACACATTTAGATTTAGCAAGTTCTGGAGCCATTAAATCCAACAAATTATTTGGCATATATATAGTTTTATTAAAAAATTGATGTAATGTTGACCTCCATATATAAGCCAAAGTTAAATCTGAGTGAATGCGAAGAGGATGACATCTGACGAACACAAAGTCGCATGTGCCATGCATCGAAGCACTTCGACCGCTGTCGCAAACGTTGTTTAATCACAAAATGGATCTTATCGATGCACTCAGGATGTCATGCTTACCTAAAGAAGCGCTAGTTGCTTGCGAATCGACACAAACAACGATGAAAGAGGTCGATGGCGGATGCAACATTGCATGAAACTATTCAAACGACTTCTGATCATGAAATGGATTGCGTTGATGTGTTCAGGGCATTGAATTTACCTAAAGGAAGACCTCTCGTATATAAATCGAGCGAAGGCATTCAAAATCGACAGATTACAGATAGAACATTGTATGACGTCGCTAGAACGTCACCCATTTGCAAAATAGATTTCATCGTCACGTATAGAAATACTAAAAAATGACTGTAATATTGCATGGGTCATCGCAAGAGCGAAAGTGCAAAATTGGCACAAATTTCTAGATGACGTTGGGGAGAATTTCAAGGCGCATAGGAAACGAGAAATCATATAAGAGATCAAGTTAAATTTAAAATCACTTATATATAATTTAATATATTAAAGGTGAAATAAAATCATATACTTGGAAATCTTGCTACTATATCACTTGGCAAAACCCTGCTCAAATCCGTGCATAGCCGCCCAACCTAGTGATCTCATAAATGGCTTTCAGCTAGAGGACAAAAAATAAATAAGTAAATAAACAATAACAATATCTAGACTAAACCCTCACCTATCGATTTGAATGCCCACGGAAACGGCACTTCTCCCAGCCTGACAGTTGCGACCACTCCTACCAATTTGCTTCTCCATGCTTCAAGCCGCAACTCAACCGTTCCTCCAACAGCAACCTCATCGACCTGTTGTGGCTCCTCCTGCTCACGTGAACCCTTAGTTCCCACACGAACTCCTCTAACTCACGTGAAACACCAGCAAAGCCACTCCACCGTGTCATTCTCTTCTAACTATATGACCAAAATGCGTTCTTCCACAGTTCTACACCAATGTTGATCCAACCCAGTTCTTCCTTCTAGCTACTACCGTGAAACTCAACAACTTTTGCCACTTACTACACTCCAAGCTTCACTACCCAACAGCCCACTCCAGCTACATACATAAACTCCACCTCCGGCAAGCAACAGCCTTACTCCTCACTGCGCTACCCCTGCCCTTTTGTTGTCGTGAAACCTCCCATCCATAGATGTCAAAGGCGCAAAATAGCATGCGCCATGGCGCACGGCGCGGCACGGCGCGGCGCACTATGGCGCCATGTGCATGGTGCAGCGCAGATATTCAAAATGGCGCACGCTATTTGCGTCATATGCGCGCCATGGCGCATGGCGCATGACACAAAATAGCGCGCGCTATTGTTTGAAAAGAAAGAGGGCATGTTTAGTGAAGTTTTTCTTTTTTGTTTTTATTTGAATTTTTAATATTATATAATTTTGTTTTGTGCAAAACATATTGCTTTATTGAAGTACTAAATTTCTGCACTTTTTTTAATAATTTCACTATTATTATAATACGTTTGATCGTTTTGATCTTTTGTTAGTCTTATATTATTATTACACATCTTTTACCTTTAAGAAATATAATAAAAGAGATTTTATATTTATCAAATAAAATATAAAATGACAATTTTTTTTTTCTTTGGCATAAGTAACACATAAAGAAGTTTTTTGAACATTTAGCAT